CTTATGGACATTTCAGAGGAAGACACCAAGCCTATCCAAGATGAACTCGAGGCCATTAGAAAAGAGGCTCAGGCCGTGTCTGGAAGAGTTAGTATTATTATATTTGGATTGTCTTTGCTATCTGTTAGAAATTTGAGGCTTGATTAGGAATTTAGGTCAATTTCTTTTGTCATCATCATCTTCATTGTTGCTGTCATTATCCTTGTCATTGTCATCACCACTATCGTTGTAATCCATATTCTCATCATCAATGTCATTGCAACCTGCATTCTCATTATCAGTTTCATCTGTATTCTTATCGTCAGTGTCATTGTAATTATCTTTTTCATTAATCATTGATTATGGACTGACCCACCAATCAACAACTATCACCATCATTGCCATTGTCATTGCCATCAACATTGCCATCATTGTCGTCATCGTCGTCATAGTTATAAGTTATAAAGACATATTACCATTGCTTTGAGTTGCACCTATAAAGTCAGAGTAAAATCTAAATTTTCTCATATTACTTACTGTGAATATGTCACGATTTGCTGTATGTTATCAAAACATGCTTTCTAATCATTGCTTTTTTATACACAACAGGCAGGCATTGTGTTGGACAGAGCAGGAGACTCAGCTGGCGAAGGGTCTGATGTGCACAAGGAAGCTCTGGATGTAGAAATGCAGCTGAATGAAGCTTTCTACACTGTGCGTGACATCATTGGGGAGATTAACAGGCTGGTCATTGGCCTGGAGACTGGTGCAGGTGAGGTGATGGATTTTATGGGACCAGCTAAATTGTTATCTTTATGTTTATAATGTATTTTTTCCTTTTTTATTTTTAGCGGTTGCACACTCTTGCTCATGCCCTTCCTAGGTCACACATTATCACTTTGACTCTAATTCTGACCCTTACCCTTACTCTCCCCTTACCTTTACCCTTATCCTCACCCTTAACATTACCTTTACCCACAGTCTTAACATTAGCATTATCATTGCCTTTAAATTTATCCTTACCCTTACCCTCACCCTTACACACTTACCCTCACCCTTACTCACACACTTACCCTCACCCTTACTCACACACTTACCCTCACCCTTACTCACACACTTACCCTCACCCTTACTCACACACTTACCCTCACCCTTACTCACACACTTACCCTCACCCTTACACACTTACCCTCACCCTTACACACTTACCCTCACCCTTACTCACACACTTACCCTCACCCTTACTCACACACTTACCCTCACCCTTACACACTTACCCTCACCCTTACTCACACACTTACCCTCACCCTTACTCACACACTTACCCTCACCCTTACACACTTACCCTCACCCTTACACACTTACCCTCACCCTTACTCACACACTTACCCTCACCCTTACACACTTACCCTCACCCTTACACACTTACCCTCACCCTTACACACTTACCCTCACCCTTACACACTTACCCTCACCCTTACACACTTACCCTCACCCTTACACACTTACCCTCACCCTTACACACTTACCCTCACCCTTACACACTTACCCTCACCCTTACACACTTACCCTCACCCTTACTCACACACTTACCCTCACCCTTACTCACACACTTACCCTCACCCTTACACACTTACCCTCACCCTTACACACTTACCCTCACCCTTACTCACACACTTACCCTCACCCTTACTCACACACTTACCCTCACCCTTACACACTTACCCTCACCCTTACTCACACACTTACCCTCACCCTTACTCACACACTTACCCTCACCCTTACTCACACACTTACCCTCACCCTTACACACTTACCCTCACCCTTACACACTTACCCTCACCCTTACTCACACACTTACCCTCACCCTTACTCACACACTTACCCTCACCCTTACACACTTACCCTCACCCTTACTCACACACTTACCCTCACCCTTACACACTTACCCTCACCCTTACACACTTACCCTCACCCTTACACACTTACCCTCACCCTTACTCACACACTTACCCTCACCCTTACACACTTACCCTCACCCTTACTCACACACTTACCCTCACCCTTACACACTTACCCTCACCCTTACTCACACACTTACCCTCACCCTTACACACTTACCCTCACCCTTACACACTTACCCTCACCCTTACTCACACACTTACCCTCACCCTTACTCACACACTTACCCTCACCCTTACACACTTACCCTCACCCTTACACACTTACCCTCACCCTTACACACTTACCCTCACCCTTACACACTTACCCTCACCCTTACACACTTACCCTCACCCTTACACACTTACCCTCACCCTTACACACTTACCCTCACCCTTACACACTTACCCTCACCCTTACTCACACACTTACCCTCACCCTTACACACTTACCCTCACCCTTACACACTTACCCTCACCCTTACTCACACACTTACCCTCACCCTTACACACTTACCCTCACCCTTACTCACACACTTACCCTCACCCTTACACACTTACCCTCACCCTTACTCACACACTTACCCTCACCCTTACACACTTACCCTCACCCTTACTCACACACTTACCCTCACCCTTACACACTTACCCTCACCCTTACACACTTACCCTCACCCTTACTCACCCACTTACCCTCACCCTTACTCACACACTTACCCTCACCCTTACACACTTACCCTCACCCTTACTCACACACTTACCCTCCACCCTTACTCACACACTTACCCTCACCCTTACACACTTACCCTCACCCTTACACACTTACCCTCACCCTTACACACTTACCCTCACCCTTACACACTTACCCTCACCCTTACTCACACACTTACCCTCACCCTTACACACTTACCCTCACCCTTACACACTTACCCTCACCCTTACACACTTACCCTCACCCTTACACACTTACCCTCACCCTTACACACTTACCCTCACCCTTACTCACACACTTACCCTCACCCTTACACACTTACCCTCACCCTTACACACTTACCCTCACCCTTACACACTTACCCTCACCCTTACACACTTACCCTCACCCTTACACACTTACCCTCACCCTTACTCACACACTTACCCTCACCCTTACTCACACACTTACCCTCACCCTTACACACTTACCCTCACCCTTACACACTTACCCTCACCCTTACACACTTACCCTCACCCTTACTCACACACTTACCCTCACCCTTACTCACACACTTACCCTCACCCTTACACACTTACCCTCACCCTTACACACTTACCCTCACCCTTACTCACACACTTACCCTCACCCTTACTCACACACTTACCCTCACCCTTACTCACACACTTACCCTCACCCTTACCTTACCTTTGCCTTTACCCTTTACTCTTACCCTTACCTATACTTTCAACCTTCCCCTCACCCTTCCCCTCACCCCCAACCTTACTCTCCTCTCACCCTCATCCTTATCCTTACCCTTACTCCTGCCATCCCAGCAACACACTCACAAGCACAGTTTTTGTGCTAATTAGATATGTTAACACACTTATTATCCTGATTAATTAGATACTACCCCAATGAAAGCTGGATGAAGTACTACAAAATTATTGTATTAAACATTATAATTTTGTTTAGATTATAAAAATGATTAATAGTAATAGAGTACAAAGATTATCATAGATATGTGGAGAATGAAGCAGAGGAAGTTAGGTAAAGAATAAGGCAAAGTATGTTAATTTTTCTGAATAATTACTATGGAACACATTTATGTTGCAGGTGCCCACCTTGAGCAAGCCATTAATGAAGCAGAAGTTATCGTAGAAGTCATGCAAGATCGGAACTTTGAGGAATTCCGTGATAAGGTGGAAGTAGAACTGGAATTGTCCAAGGAATTGTTGGACAAGATCAACCTGTTCTATGAGCCAGTTAAGGTTAGAAATTCGCCCAATTTGTTTTTTTTAATATGAGAATTATCTCAGCTGTAAACCATTGCTCAATATTTAAAAGATATCTTATTGCCATTCTTTGTACTGTTGACATTGCCCCCAGGGGAACTTTGTACTTGTTGGATATTAATATTATTTAATACTGATTTACTTGGCTTTTCTTCAGGAACATAATAAGGCAGTCGGTGCTTATGCTGATCAGCTAAAGGACTTTGATAAAAAGCTGGAGGAAATGCAAGGTTTCATTCAGAAGGCCCAGATGCAAACCAAAGATGCCATGGAAAGAAATCGTAACAATAAATTATTTGGGTAAGAGTCATTAACTTCAGTAACATGCTGATGTGCTTATTACTTTTATTGTTTGTAAGATTGAGAAAATTTGTTAATAAAATAATAAAAGTTTCAAAATTTGTTAACATTAATCTGCATGATATCATGGAACATTAGTTGTAGGCATTTATTTCAAACATAGGATTGGAAAATTTCAATCATAGGAGGTAATGAAAGAACACTTTTATTAATATTTTTTTCCTTTGATTTATTTGAATTGCTAGTAAAGACAAAAAATGCTTTGAAACAAAGTACATCCTTTTTCTTTAGAATTATAACATAGGAAGTTAATATCTGTATTAACGATAACAGTAATGACCAAAGGCATATGATAAACTAATTATATATTTTTATATATGAGATTAGTGTTTACCTGTTATCCTATTAAATGCTATGGTATACTGGCTGCATGTGTAACTGTGAAAAAACAAAGACATTTCCAAAAGAGGATTTACTACTTGGAAAAAAATTCAATTCTCCACCAGCTATGAAGCACTAAAGAAGAAAATAGAGGAAGCAAATCGCGTGGGCAAGGAAGTAGATGGTGACTTGGAGAAGTCACGCAATCGTGTTGATGAAGCAAACAAAAATTACCTCAATGCTTCAATGAACTATGAAGAACTGTGTATGTATATATATTCTGTGTAGATATTAATCGTTTTTTCATTTCATGTGACAGAAAATTGTAAACAGTATATATGAAATGCCTTAAGTAAAAGTTCATGATTAAAACATGTATATCTCTATTGCAGTGGTGGAGTTGGAGCAACTGCATGCAGCCAGATCCACACTCAATACAACAGTGTTACAAATAGTGCAAGAATTAGAGGAAGCACAGTTACCAGCAATGAAGGCTAAAGAACATGCAGAAGTGCTCAAAACAAGGGTATGGGAATATTCTTACAGTTTAGTCAACATTTATATTTTGGGATGAATTTTTTTGTCTTAATCAAAATCTGCAGAGAAGTGATATCTGTGGTCAGTAGATAATAAACGAGAACTTGTTATTTTGCTGTCCATTATAAAATTCCATTTCAGTGAAAATTCTTGAATTATTCGTATTTTGAATATATTTACAGGCTGATGACCTCGACAGTCTGCTTGCTGACACCCGAGAAGTTTCTGAAAAGGCCCTTGCAGCTGCAAATGCATACATGGACATTGTGAAAGCAATTGAAGATGCTCGCCAAGCTGCAGAAGCAGCAAAGGAAGCAGCTATGAAGGTAGATATTACAATTTCTGAAAAAATATTTTCAAGTACAGAAAGTCTGGAAGTTATTTGTAAATTGGGATGAATTCCAGCTTTAACTGAGTAAAAAGAAAGTTTAATTGGGTAGCAGACTATATGATTCCAATGACTTTAGATGATCTTAGATGTCAGTTATTATTAGAATGAAGGCCTAAGCAGATTAATGGTATTATGATAAACACCATCATTATCCCTGTGGTTATTGTTGATAGTATAATATCTTTATTCTTTCTTTTATTTTTCCTAGGCCCTGGAACTTTCAGGAGGTGTCAGTGATGATGCAGTTGTATCGCAGAAGAAGTCGGAAGAGAAGTATGAAATGGCAGTGTGGCGATCCCAACAAGTGGAAAGCGAGTTGCAGCCTCAACTTGCACAGGCTGAGAGTGATGTCCGCACCCTTAGAGATATGAATACATACATTAGTGATACCATTGTGGTGATTGGCAGGTTAATAATTTGTTTTTATTCATTTTAAATTTTTTGTTTTGTTTTATTAGCTTGTTTATTATGGTTACTGATACTACTATTCATTAGTATATCAGCATTGTTATTAGCAAAAACTTCAAGAGTTTTCATTTGGATTAAGTCCCCAAAATGTAAGAGAATATATGAAATGATATTCTTGATAAATTGCTTGTGAGGCTATTCTTAGTAAAATAAGTTTCCCTTTAAAACAGTTCATTGGACAAGCTGCAGCAAGAATCAATTGCAGATGAAGCATCCAGTCTAAAGGAAAATGCCATTCAGTCTAGGGACCTTGCTGGGGAAGCCATTTTAAGCATAGGTAATGTAGAGGAGCAGCTTCCCGAAGCATCAGCTCGGAGTCGTCAGCTGATGAAGAACGTTGCTGATGGGGAAAAGGCCATTCAACTTGCAGACAGACAAGGTACTGTAACTTTGTTTCTGGTTTGCATGTATTATGATTGAAGTAATTATCTATATTTATGGACAAGGTAAGTGAAATGTTTCTGTGAAGATAATTTTTGTTGATAAGTAATTGAAAAGATGTTTGAAGTAAAGCAAGGCATAGAGATACAAGAATCCAATGTAATGTCTCACTTCCTAGACAGTGTAATTTACAGTTGGATATGTGTTCACTGATGAATGTAAAAAAAAGAAGAGAGAAAGAAAGAAAAAAAAGTAGCCTATTAGCAACATCAAGAAAGGATAAAGAGTAATATAGCATTCTTCAAAAAAAGTGGAACAGGTAGAACAGCAGGTGCCAGAGATGATGGAATTGGCAGCCAGCCTACGCCGAAAGAAGGAATCCATCCAAATGAAAGGCATTGATGTGGGTGACCGACTCAAGGAATTGCGCCGTTCCATCCAGAAGACACGAGAGCTGGCCAACAAGATCAAAGTTGGTGTTGAATTCCAGCCCAACACAACCATTGAGCTCCAAAACCCAGAGGATATTACAAAGGCAGCCACATCCACCAAGGTATGTTGGCTGCTGTTAGGTGTATTATGATTTTTTTTTTCTTTTGTCTCCGTGAAGATGAAACGCTACTGAAATGGGAACAGAACATTTTATTCTATTCCTCTTGTGGTAATGTTTCATTTCATACATGTGTACACTCTACAGTATTTGTCTCATTGCCTTTTTTATAGGCTGATATTCCTCTGTCTTCTTTCTATAGATTTGTGTCCCTTTTTTCTGCAGGCTTAGTGGTCTACGGGCCTTCTTTTTGTAGCTTGTCTACCTGCCTTTTCGTAGATTGACTTATCTACCCGCCTTTTTGTGGGTTTATTCATCTACCTGCTTTTTTCACCTAGTGATATTGGTGTGGCAAAAATTTGTGGCATGTCTGCTGTGTTTTTTGTTTCCTATTTGTCATTGCACATAGTTAGCTCTACAAATGCTTGATTAACAAGGAGTCAGTTACAATCTTTATTACCTATTTGCCCATTTTCTTGAATTTGGGGAAATTTGATTTTTTTTTCATATTGTTGTTATTAGTGTTGTTAATACTATTATGATAATTATGATGTCAATTATAATAACAACATTAGAAAAAAATATTTTCCTGAATATTCAGTGAAAGGGGAAATCATGTTGGGTCACATAAGCCTACAAATTAGTTCCTTGGTGGTGAGCATTTGTGGAGCCGTCCATGTGCAAATAAAATCCTTGCTAAGGGAAGTTCATTTGTATGTAGAATCACTATTGAGATTCATTTGTGAATTATTTTCATTTACATATCGCATTAAAGTATTTGAAAAATGAATGTTTGTGTCAGCTCAGAAAATATACTTTTGCATTTGTTTTTGATAATTAAAAGAAAATGTGGCTACATATATTTTATATAATATTTACCCCACAGGTATCTATGTTCGTGCGTACAGATGAACCTTCAGGATTACTGATGTTCATGGGAACCCCAGTTGGAGGAAGCAAGTTGATGCGCCGCACTAAAACAGATGACTTCATGGCCTTGGAGATGGACAGTGGATTTGTCCGCCTCACCATGGACTTGGGTGATGGCTCGCACTCCATTGAGAACAACAAGCTGCGCATAGATGATGGCATTTGGAGAGAAATTAGAGTTGACAGGTCTGGTTATTGAGCTTTGGAAAGTTTGTCATGAATTATTTTTATTTATTTATTTATTTTTTTTTTGTGCTTACCATTTGCTGTTAGAAATATGTTTGGAGGGAAGGGAATTTGAAATGAAATTGGTTGACACAAATTTAGAAAGGGGTTCATTAAAGCATAAACTTCCAGTAATGCAATTAATTCCTAATTCCAGGACGGGTAAGCTTGTGAAACTAAGCATAGTTTATGAAGATGAGGACAAGAGTGAGGCAATTGCATCTGTAGAAAATGAGTTACCTGGCACCTTCTCTGTCTTCAACCTTGATCCGGGTGTGTCAAAGATATTCATTGGTGGAATTCCACCTGGAGTTCAGGTTGACAGTGCCATTCGCAGCACCTCTTTCTATGGCCAAGTGGAAGACTTCAGGCTCAATGATCGTCCTATTGGTCTGTGGAACTTCATGTCTAATGGCACCAACAACATTCAACAACGTGGTGCACTGGAAAGGTAATAGAAGTCTGTGATATGTCATAGATCAAGATTCATTCTTCATGTATTTTTTTTCATGGCTTATTAGAGCATTATGTGCTTCATTAGTTTTGTTTCTTTGTAAAAATTCAACAGTTGTAAGGATGAACTAGTTGTTATGGGAGAATCTTTCAGGAAATAATTTTGTTAATGCTTTTCAGAGATCAACTTGTAGATTTAGTTCCTCCAACTGGACTAAGATTTGATGGCAACGGATACGCAGCCATGGACACGCGCAATGGCTACAGATTCAAGAAGAAGTTTGATCTGCAGCTTGACTTTAAGACCTATGCAGAAGATGGTATCCTCTTCTTCATTAGTGGTGCTGATGTATGTATAATGTATAATGGACTAACATTATGAATGTGAATGAAATAGGTAGAATTTCCTCCAGCAAGTAAAGTTTCATTCATGTCATGATCATGGTAGTAGTCTTGTTTATTAAAGTAATTGGTAAAGTTATTATTAATAATGTTTATCTGGTATTTTCAGGATCAGTACATAGCTGTTACCATGGAAGAAGGCCATGTGCTGTTCCAATTCAACCTTGGAACAGGAGTAGCGACAATGAAGTCAGAGGAGACCTATCATGATGGAGAGTGGCACCATGTGGAAGTAGCAAGAGAGCAGAATAGAGGCATCATGAAGGTCAGAGACAGTATTATCATCATCAGAATTTGGTATTGCTAAATTCTGCTAACTTCTGTGGCATTGATATATAATGAACATCTTAATATATTTCATTTTATTTTTTCCAGGTTGATACTAAGGGAGTCCAAGGAGAATCTCCAGGCAGTGCAAGGCTTTTCACAGAAGTCCCACAAAGAATGTACTTTGGAGGCTTGCCTGGTGAACATGAATTTATTGATACAACAAATGATGATTTTGATGGATGCATTGACCACATAGTCATGTCTTCTGTAGCTGTTGATCTTTCTAAGAGTACAGAAACATTGAGTGCAGCACCTGGCTGCCCAGTTAAGGTAACTATTAGTGGTTGTTAATTATTTAGTTTTAGAATAAACTTCCCAGTATTATTAGTAACATTTTATGTTCTCATAAATTGTCAATTTGTTTTTAAAGATTTACTCTTTCCATTGCATATAGAGTAACTGACTCCAAAGTTATGTTGATACTATGCTTTCCATCCAGTGACACATGAAGTACAACTTGGCAAAGCAAAATAGAGTATTAATGATTTAATGAACAATTTCAGGTGGCCAGCTTAGTATCCTTTGAAAAGATGGCTCCAGGCTATGTAAAGCACACTAGCCCTGATGGAACTGGCCTACAGCTCACCTTCAAGTTCAAGACAGATCAGCCAGATGGTCTCATTTTCTATACAACTACAAGGAACCAAGACAGTTATGTCTCTTTGTCACTGGCAGAAAGTGCTCTCATTTTGAGAGCTGCTCCAGGTGGAGAGCTTAGTACAGGTATGTTTTTTTTTTTTAACTTTTACATGTTTTGCTGATGTTGGAGAGTATATTCAATGGATTAGCAAAATATAGAGTCCATGGAATGAAAAGAATGAAAACTTTATACATGGAAGTAAGGGTGAATAACAAGGCTTTTATTTCAGAATTTTAAGGAAAAGAGAGCCATGAGCTTTTTAACCCATTCGCCACATGTGGCAAGAATAGATGCCATACCCACTTTGATACATGTTTATTTATTGTATTTACACATAGATGGCTCTACAAGTTCTTAATCACCAAATAGCCAGTTATCAAGAACTACCTATTTCACCTGTTTACTCTTTTCCTTCACTTTAGGAAAGGGTTTCATTGTCAGAAATATTCTAATGACAATTCAATAATCATAACATCAATAACAATAATAACAGTATCGAAAGCAATGGTATTAGTTTTCCCGCTAATTCAATGAATGGGAAAATCAGGGTCGGTAACTAGGGCCTACTGATAGACTCCTTGCCAGCTGAGCACATGTGGAGCCATCTGTATGTAACAAAATTCACTAAAAACTACAGGGGACAGAACATAAATCTGTGGCAAATGGGTTAAAATACCAATCATGGGTGTAAGCACTGATCTAATTTGCTTTAATTTTTTCAGGGTCCTATAATAAATATAATGACAGTGAATGGCATGTTGTTAATGCTATTCGTGAACATAACCAGCTTCGTCTTCATGTTGACGACTTCGAAGATTTCAAGTTTGTAGAGTTTCAGTTTTGATAAATGATTGAAAAATATGTAATTGTTATACATTAGTTAGATTTAAACTGTATACAAGGTTGGTTTTAGTTTGTTATTTATTAAGATAACTTAAAGCCACAGGTAATTGTTGACACATTTAATCATATATTTGACCTTTACTAGCTTAACTGTCATTTTTTCTCTCCAGAGTGTCTGTTGCACAACCAGCAGTGCCATTTGATGGACCTGTCTTCTTTGGTGGAGTACCAGCTGAATACAATATTGCAGCTGCTGCATCAGCCACAGACACTAACTTCTTTGGCTGCATTGGTGATGTCACGCTCAACAGCAAGATTGTGAACTTTGCAGAGAGCACTGACCGTCCAAGAGCACTGTTGCAGAAATGCCACCTGGTGAGAAGCTTGTCACACTTCCAGTCTTCTACTTTTGGTAAGTGTATAGGTACTCTGGTTGCTGCATGTTTGCTGGTTTATTATATTACAAATTAATTATTTATTTATTTTAATATGTGGAACCACATTTTAAAAAGAGTTTTGTCAAGTTTTGTTTTATTTTATACATTCATATCCTATTTTGATTTGATAGGACTGTCTCCAAGTGATATTACATAATAGCTCATAACAAATATAGCCCCTTTTACAAAACTGTGAAGAACAGATTAAGGTTGGAATGTGGAAAACTCCCAAGAGTTCTTTGTTCTAAAGATTTACACTCTTGGGAAATGTATTTATCTCATCTTATTGCAAGCTTCCTCAAATAGAAACATTAATAAAGAGGTATTTTAATTCTTTATAAATATAATAAACTGAGTATAATGTGATCAGAATGAAAAGTAAATTTATCCATTTTGACTTTTCAACTTCGGATAATTAATCTGAAGAATTTGAAGTAAAACCATTCAGTAACTCAGAAAAGATTAAATAGAATTTATATATTGATTCCTAAATAACGGAGGGAAATTCACATGGAATTCAAAATTCAAAAGGAATCCTAAATAAATTGACTGATGAAGGGTATGTAGAGAAAGTAAGGCATCTCATGTGCAGTTATGATTGAATTAGAATGCACCAATTAAGAAGATAAGTTCTGCATTGGTCAAATGAAGTGAATTTCAGAACTGATATAAATTGTGTGCATGTGAAATATGTTATCATAAAGACAGTAATCAGCATTTTCAGGAAAAAAATATGATATGCTGTTAGGAATGCCCCTATAATACAGACAAGAAAAGTAATCTTTTTGATAGATTATTTTTTGCTTATGAATTTTAAAAGTACAAGCAGTTTGATCAATACTTCAATGATGTGAGTCTACAAAGGAATTATCAGTGATTTTAATAATGCTTTGGAACTTGCTTTTTTGCATTTGAGAATAGAAGATGTGCATTGCATGATTTTGCCATTAATGCATAGCTAGATGGAGACATTGCTAGAAGCCTTAGAGTTTATTTATTTATTTTTTTTTTTGAGTTTTCTTGTTTATCCATACACTAATAATTATTAAGTGTCGAGCATTAGAATACTCACCAAGTTTAACAAATTCATTCGAGGGCCATTTGTTTATCCCATATATCCTGCACTGCAATCCTGCTAATGTTGACTTTGTTTGCTGCTTGTCTTGTGAATCGTGAACTAGGAGCTGGAAGAGAAACCAACACTAGTGCCCCCGGAGACACCCTCACCGTGCAGATTCCCGAGGTCGTGGAAGTGGATTTCGACTCCTCCTCTTATCCCCCCCCTTACGTTACCACTGACTCCTCCCCTCAGCTTGTCACCTCTGCTTCCTCCCCATTCCCCACCCCTCCTCCCTCTACCACTGAAATAGTCACTAGCACAACAGGTATTCATGCAATTGTAATAAAGAATGTTTTAGTTGTAAGTGTATTTTCTGAGATACATGCACATGTATTGTCACATGTATGATCACACATGCACATCCATGCACACCTCCATATACCTATTTATACATATGTTATACTAACATATGATATAATGTATGTTGAAACACTTTTACATATGTTTTCAATATGTTCTCACATATTGTTTGCATCTAAATGTTGTCATGTACATGCACACACATACATGCACAGACTGTATGTGCACATGGACATGGATACCCACACCCACTCACACCCACACTCACACCCAAACTCACACCCACACCCACACCCATACCCATGCCCACACCCACACCCACACCCACACCCACACCCACACCCACACCCACACCCACACCCACACCACACCACACCCACACCCACACCACACTACACCACACCCACACCACACCACACTACACTACACTACACTACACTACACTACACCATACCCACAACCCACCCAAAATCTGCCCACAACCACACCTACACCACACCCACACCCATACCACACCACACCACACCACACTACACCCACACCACACCAAACTACACCCACACCACACCACACTACACCCACACCACACCACACCACACTACACCCACACCACACCACACCCACACCACACCACACCACACCACACCCACACCCACATCTACACCCACACCCACATCTACACCTACACCTGCACCCACACTTATACACAGAAACTTATTTACACACAAATCTACAAGTATGCACACAGGTACATTCATGTGCATATACATATAAATATTTTGATATTTGAAATCCTAGTGTACTGTACTATTTAAAAATACTGTTTTTTTCTCTCTTCTTTAAATTTTACTTATTTTACTCTTTCACTGTACTAAATGTCCTCCTGTATGTATGATTTCCCTTACAATATTTTTCCCATGTTGATACAGAAGGAAGCCTCTGATAATGTTTTATTATGCATGGGAAACTTCTAATGATTATTAGGAACAGATGGAATATGAAATTGATATTAATTTATAAATGTTATGAACATCTGGATAATGCATTGGTTTTAGAAACTTTTGATACTTCCTGGAATTGTCCCTAAATGCATTATACATCCTGTTTGCAACAGTTCATCTTATCCCCATGACTTGGTACTGTAATATAATTCTATGAATGTCTAAATACTGCATTGGTTCTAGTATTTTTTTTTAAGAAACTTGTTATACTTCCTGACCTTGTTCTTCTTTGCCTCTTGTATTATGCACTTACTATGGTCCTATTTAGTCTTAATTACAGACCTTAAGAACAATATTATGTATGGACTTCAAGTTTGATCAGCTCCATTTGCTGTGCTCTCTCGTTTTCTCTTTTAATATGTAACTCCCCTCTTTTGAACTGCTTCTTTTGGTCTTTTAATCTTGGATACAGGTAAAGTGTTCTCTTTCCTCAGTTTAGTGTCCTAAGAAGTATCATCAATACCTGAATCAATATCATTTGCATGAGAGGTTCATTTTTTTAATGGGTTTGTTGAAAAAAGGAAAGAAAGAAAGAAAAAAGAAATTTGCAATACAACTATTTGTTTCTTGGATTCTGGCTAGTTTAGAGACTAGCCTTTTTCTATTTGATAATTATAATTAAATATGTTGCTAAATTTGGAAACCCTGAAGTAAATGTATAAAATCTGAAAGAAAGATTGCTTTTTTATAAGAGCTTATTTGGCAAGGAAGAGAATTCAAAGCAATATATAGGTGTGTTAATTAATTACTTTGTTCATATAGCTCATATTTGAACTGTCCTTAAAATATATGGTTCTGTTATTTTTAAAAGATTGTGTTTCTGCATTTCATCAAATACCTGAACTCAGAGTCATTAGAAATATAGATTCAATATAAACTATTAATCATATTACGACACACCTATTATTGATGTAACATTTTAATATCTTATGTTTGATAATAATCGAAAACCATTATTGTTAACAGAGGAGATCCAAGCAGAAGTGGATGACACTGACCTTCTTGAAAGCTGTGCTCTTCCTGTTGACCCTGTAGAGGAAGAACCTGATGATAGTGCTGGTTTCCGCTTTGGTATGTAGAAAATTTGTCATAATTGCCATTATGTAAATACATTCAGTCTGATACTAATAGGATTAGTATTATATATATAGATGCGGTCTGATAATTAAATGGGTTTCTAAGCTTATTATGAAGTTTAAAGAATGTTCATGATATTTAGGAAAATGCGATGGTGTATGATTTTTTAAAAACCTCTTTTGTGTGATTGTGTCATTTCATACGCAAAATTTTCCCCCTTAGACGAAGATCACCCGGTCGACTTGAAATTTGGTGAGTCGGTATGCAGGTAGCTTGATAATGCCTTGAGCATAACATGTGATAATCTTGGTGATTCTAGATAGATGGTG